CGCGCCTCCGCCGGGGACCCTGCCCGTGCCAGGGCATCCCACGAGACCTCTGCGTTGAGGGATGCTCAAGTTGCTCTTCATTTCTGGTGGCTTCTTGAGGAGTTAGAGCCGGCCAGCCTGAAGCTGGTTTTGCCCGTACTTGAGAAGTTTCTTCTCAATTTACACAGTCTGAACTGGAACTAGCAGCTGGGGGGGGGTGCGTGTGTGCGGGATGCTGCTGGGAGTCAAAGCCAAGTGCCATTCAGCTGCACGTAGGAAAAGTGGCTTGGATTAGGTCGCCCCTAAGGAACTGATGTCAAGAGGATTATTTCTTTGCTTTCGGCCCCCTGTTCCTTGCGTGAGAAGGGGTGTTGCTTCCTCCAGCTGTCGAAGTGTTAATGAGAAAAAAAAAGAATATTTTTTTAAATACGGAATTAATTTTTAAGTGGCCTAAAAGAGACTTTATATCTACACCTAAATTATTCCCGTTGGGTGACGTTCATCTCGGCGCAGGGGCTCTGCCTGCGCTTGGATGCTCTCCCACGCCCCAGCCAGCGGGACGTGGCGCTGCAGGGTCTGGCTGCGTCTCCTGCGCCGGGATGAATTTCACACGTAGGGGAAAAATCCTGATTTGTTCAGAGGACGGGGTGAGGTCCGTGTCCCACTAAATCCTTGCAAAGGAAAAAATTTAAGTGGTACCCGGACCTTGCGCTGGCCCGCAGAACAAAAGGAGGGTGAAATTCACTTCTAGTGAATAATCTGACTTTTCAGAGATACCTTCCTTCTAAAGTTTGTATTTTTGTTTTTTTTTTTAAAAACACAGAAAAAAAGGATCTTGACGTACAGAAGAAAATCCAGATCTGATTTACAATTTTGTTATATTTGGTTGCTTTAAAAATATTTTACTAATTTAAAGGTTGCTGTAGATTACATTCTATTTATTTTAAGGGGTAAATATCTTTTAGTCTTAATACTTCTACAGTAAGCGCTGTCTATTTACACTGTTTGTGTTCCTGTCAACACAGCTATTCCACGACTGACCAAGTGCTGGTCAGCCAGTAGTAACTTAATCGAATTGCCTTGTAAAACAAGATGTCTCTTGCAATGTATTTTTTCGAGTATTTCTTGATTCTTTTATGTCTGTGGTTAACAAATCTGTTAAATGTTTGGGTTGTTCTATGTTTTGGGTTGTTGTTTTGTTTTGTTTTTTTAACAAAGAAAGCTGAATTACAACTCTCTTGTTGCTGGTCTTTGCCTCCAAAACTTTTATTTTGCAAAAGGTTGCCTTGTTTATCCCACATCCACCAGCACCTGAGCCCTGGGTTTCCAAGCGTTCCTCTTGCAGACGGGTCTAGGAGCATGGCTGAGCAATGACAGCATCCATTCCTCTATCACCATCCTCCTTTTTTAAATTCTAGTCACCGTTTCTGGGTTTGCATGTGTTAAAACTAAGGGAATGGGAAAGTGGGTGAGCTTTGGGCAAGAAGTGGGAGCAGATGACAGATGTCCTAATTCCCCAGGGTGTATCTGCATGGTTGTATGACAGAGATGCTGCTGGTAAAAGCTTGCAGCCAAAAAAACAGTCTTAACAGCAGGAAGTTATCAAACTTTATATGAGGAAAATGATCCTCTGCTGCAATCCCTCTTCCCCGTGTCCTTCCACGCTAGAGAGATGCTCTGTCTGCAGGGGCCCTGGCTAGAGGGAGGGGAGGGGATGCTCAGGCGTACAGAAAGGTCGGGGTGTGAGGGTTGCTTGATTTGCACCTTTGGGTGTGCAGATGGCAGAGCTCAGAAGTTTTCCTTCCTAAAGGAGAGGATGGTGGTCAGGCTATTCCGTTGAGACACACACACGCGCCCCAAGAGGAAGAAATGGGCATGAAATGCTAAAGGAGCTTAGGAAGGCTGCGAAGAAAACCCAGTAGTAAAGTGAGACTTCAGTGAAGCCTACATAGGCTGAATAGGTGCTACACACAAATTTCATACTGAATTTTAGGTGTTACACTCAACTGATGTCTCGAACAATGAGAGAACTCACAAGAAAGAGGCAATTCTTGGTTTACTCTCGAGCGTTGTGGCTGTTTCAGAAAGTAACGCCGAAAGAGAATGCAGTGTTACGTGCTTAAGCCCGACATCCTCGTAAAACCAAACCCAGCTACCACAGTAACATTTAACTTTATATATATATATATATAAAGGAAGACGTTAGAGGTGCAGAAATGAGAATGCAGTTACAAGGATAATGTGTGTGACAAGGGGCACAGAGGCTCTTCGATACGGCATTAGAGACTCTTAGTGGAGGAATTAGAGTAATCTAAGAAAAACATCTCTAAAAGCCAGCATGGCTAAACAGCAGAATGGCCTGTGCCATTAGCGATTTAAGAGATCATTCAAAAAGTGACAGTTGTGGCCAAAGAAGGAAAACAGAGGAGAGAATAAACTCTGGCAAATTAAATATAAAACGTCAATAGGACAAGTCAACAGTACATTCGCAAGTGGGACGCTGACGGCACAAGGAGGAGAAGGGCTGTGATGCCTGCAGGAAGCCTGCCAGAGACACAGTCGGCCCCGTGCTGTGCTGCAAAGCGCTTTAGCAGACAGATAAGGCAGTAGCACAGAACAAAATGAGTTATTTGCATCCGTGTTTGCTACAGGCTTGCTTGGAGAAGTTCCCGCGCTGAAGCCTTTCTTCACAGGAGCGAGCGCAAGGAATTGCTGCCAGATAAAGCATCGTGTTTCGGAGCAAAGCTCCAGCGGTGGGATTCAGAGGCCTTCAAGAGCTGCAAAGGGTCCCAGATGAGATTAAATGCTACCAGCAGGCGTGTGCAACCCGCTGCACAACACGGCAGCGATGCCCGTGGTATGGGAGGTGGCAAAGGGGATGCCGGTACAGGTGAAGCGTCCAGGAGTAGCCCAGACCGGTTGCAAGAAGCTGATGTAGAGGATATGGTGAGCAGAGAGACGGAGAAGAGCATCCTGGGGAAAGAAACGCAGCTTTCGTCCAGGGAGGTCAGTCCTCAGCAGGCCACCAAGGTTCCAGTGCCTTGTATCCTTGGCTTTCAGCAGGCTCAGGTCTCACTGAGCTTCCCACAGGGTTTGAAAGAGGGAATTAATTTCAGTGGTAATTGTTTGGGAGAGCGAAAACACCGGCAAAAGTAGTTAATAGTGGAGGGAGGTGGTCTGCAGAGCTTGCCTACGGATGTTCTCTTGGTTCAGGCCAGTTCAGTCTGGAAAGGGAGATGGACAGGGGTGGCAAAGTCTCCTGGAGAACGAGCATTTTTCAGGCTCATCAAACAAAGTTGATTGCAATGAGGGATCTCCTGACAGGGCACTAAAACTGCAGATGAGAAGAGTGTTAGGAAGTGAGAACGAAAAAGGAACAACTGCAGTGCTGCTGTGTAATGTCACTCCACGTGCCCGCCCTGAGCGCTGAGCTGGTCCAGTCACCCCACCAGGGCTGCAGGGCTGCAGGAGGGGGAGCGGGAGAGGATTTGGACTTGCTGTCGCACGAGCACCGGGCGAGCGCTCAGGCGGACGGCCCGAAACAAACACAGGAAGTGTTTTTTCGCACGCGGCAGCGTTAATCGTGTGCTCAGTGTCAGGGGATGTTGTTGAGACAACAATGTGTGTGCATAGAAGTTCAAAAAGAGCTCAGATAAAAGGGTTTGTTATTAACTGCAACAGCCCTAGTGCAGCCTCAGCCTCAGGGAGCGCCGTCTTGTGAGTCTGAGGCTGGAAGGACAAACCCGGGAAGGGGTCAGACCTCATGTTTCATACGAGTTTCCTCTGAAAGATCACTACTGATGGCTGCTGGAGACGTGGTCCTTTGGCCATGAGTCGACTCTTGGCTCCCCCCCACTTGTCCTTTCTGTTGGTGCCACTGCAGCAGCCGTGCCTTCATCTCCGGAGGATGAACGTCGATTCATCAACGGAGGCAAGGGAAGCCCCACGGTGGTAGAGGAAGCCTCATGCTGGGCTTTGCCCGGGAAGGACTCACTGCATGGGAGGCACATGTGGTCCCAGCGTGGTCCCCAGGCAGCACTGAGCTGTCTAGACAAATCTCCCCAGCTTCGGTCTTGTGGCTGCTGGTCTTTTGTCCTGATAGCTGGAGGTTGCAGTGGTGACGGGAGGGGGAAGGCGTGGGAACACAGGCCTTCTGGAGGACACACAGGCAGCGAGACTGGCGTTTTTCCTCCCTCGAACCGGAAACATGACATTTTTCTCCCCAAACCCAGGAGCGCCTATGTGTTTGAGCGACATGGAGAGAAGCACGGGGATCTGCCACCAAAGAAGGGTGAGCCCTTGAAGCAGCAAGTAGAAATGCCTCTGCAAACTGGAGGCAAGCCCAGCAAAAAGCAATAAAAGTTGTTTATTTGAAGATTCGTGCGAAAGATGAAAGGCACTAAATATGTTTGGGCTGGGAAGAAGCCACTAAGGGTGTGGCGTGACACAGGCTGGGAACTGCTTCAAGGCTGCAAACATAAATTAAAGTAAGGAGCTGATGAGGAATTGTGGATAGAACTAATAAAGGGATCCTCTGAGGCAGAAAAATTAATACACCAAAAATGAGATACGGGTATGAGGAAATTTAATAAAAGGAGAATTGATGTTGACAAACTTCCTTGCAGCAAAATACACCCGACAACAAAATTGTCCCCTTAATATTGAAGCAATGGAAGTTCTGCTTGGAAGTCTTTTTTTTTTAAAAGGAGTTGCTAATATTTCACCTGTTGTACAAAAGCCATGAAACAAAGATGTTCTCT